GGAAGGAGCTCCAGGCCCTAACCCAGTCCTACTGTGTACAGCACTGACCACAACAAAAGCTGTGGTTTCTCCCACTCTAGCCTTAAATAGGTTTAAATTAATGCTATTCATCACAGGGTGGGAAGGAAGACAGGCAAACCATGCCAATAGCATTGGGAAATTTTCTAACCAACACAGTCAAACCTCTTAGCCATAAACAAACTGACTTCCATTCAAAGACTTCCTCTCAACCAGCATTTGCCTCGTGTTCCTGTGAGCCCTCTGCCTTTGAACTTCCATCTTTTTCACTATGCTCTAAGCACAGGGTTTTGTTACTACATTCAAGGGAAAGGATATTGTTACTATCCTCAGGTTACTGCAGAATACACTTAAGGTTCTAAAAGTCATATTTAATCTCAAGTTTGTTGGTTGCTACAACTATGTGTATGGAATTAAGAGATAAAGCTGTATACATGTATCAATAATTTACAATATATCAATGAGCCAGAAATTGTACCATGAATTTGGCTTCAGGTCAGGTTTAGAATATGGGATACAGACTAGGTCTCTCTTTATTAATTTTAAGTTTCACCATATATTAGTCTTATCCCTTCTTTGTTCAAACATATTTTTTATCACCACAAATCATGGGAACTATGCACACAAGTTTCTGTTAGAGGGTGTGTTAAGCTTCTGAAGAAGTTTAAGTATATATGTACAACCCTAATCTTGAAAATCAACACATGCACATATACTTGCCAGTAGAACATGCTGAATATATGTTAGAAATGCAACACTCCCTCTAGGAAATGTGCTGTCACCTAGAAATCAGTACATTGTAAACATTATTGGACATAGACTTATAAAATATAACAAAATAATATGACTCACTTTAATGTTTAAAATTATTTTATATGTATTGTAACCTTATGTGTAATTATTCCACATTTTAAAAAAGTCTCTTTTGAATATTATTGAGATCACTGCTACTGCTTAAGCAGCACTCTGGGTGCAGCCTGGGTGTGCACACATGCACACAAAGCACACACTCACAGCCACTCCCCATCTTACACCTGCTCTGAAGCAGTAGGAAGTGAATTCTCAATCTGTCAACATGACCATCTGGTCTATCTGCATATCATGGCTTTCTCTAGTACTATATGAAGGAATGGTAGTCACGAGGCCAAAATAAAACTAATGTGCACCTGAATGGGAATAGCTCCTCTTTTGGCTGAAATGGAACCACGTGGCTCATCATAGCCAAACTAGCAGAGTTCTGACTTAAAATGAGTATTCCTGAAAGTATCACCAAAGGAACACTTCAGTACAGTCCACGTGGTGATGAGTAATACTCCCTGCAGGTTACAGGATGGGTACCAAGATGCTGGGATACTGAAACAGCTCTTTCTGCAAGGCCAGAGACAGACCAACCATCAGCTCCTGTACTCGGCAGAAGTGTTCACTTCCCATCTTAAAACTCACATGTACTCGAACTGCCATTAGGATGGCATCGGTTCCTTTGTCGTTGGCTAATTAGCAGTTGCAGCAATTTGCTGACAGTTTTGGTCACTTAATCTTTCCAAGTGGATTTTTAAGACAGCTAAAAATACTTGCAATCTTAGAAAACTCCTCACCTTTAAAAAGTGACAATGACTCAGTGTGCTTCAGCTTTGGGCCCATTGCCACCTGCAAATTAGCAAGGGCCTCTGTTGAATTAAACATAATTCCATTTGTTTAATTTTAGATTTCAAGTGTCACCACACGTAAAGACTATCTCAGAGCTGTTGCTTTACTCCACGTCAGGTAATACCAAACATAAACAGTGAGTATCATTTTATGTCGTAACGAAAGCAATCTACCTCTGTCCAAGCAAGAAGTCCTTTTAAAAGTCCAACCCCTCAACAAAATTTAACTAACTTAACAGAATCCTTAGAATCTGATTACATTTCCAGAAGTTATACAGAAGCAGTTTCAAACAACAACAACAAAAAAAATGTTAAAAGAAAAAAAAAAAGAAAAAACTCTCCAGAAAGTTCTCGGTTGAGTGCCTACTAATGAACAAAGGTTAACTTTATCTAAAAGGTCAAATGCCTGGTGGCTAAGGTTATGACCTTAACAACTTAAATTGTGACCTTGCCACGTGCCGGGTATATTGTAGATTCTGATACAGATCATCTGGTAAAGGCTGGTCATAAATTAGCTTTACTGTTACCTGTCCACAAAGAAAACCGTTTGCCATGATACCATAGTACCAACAAGTCGCCATATGATACATGGGAAAGACAATGCAAACAGAGACCAAATTAAAGACATAAAATGGTTTTGTTGTTTTATGGACTGAACAGGATGAAAGTTTAAGGGTTATGGAATCACGTGATTTCACTATACTTCTCTCTGTTTACATGACACAAAAGTCACTCAGTTCTAATGCCACCGGACTTAGGGATGCAGTCAAAGCACTGGCTTTTATCATCTCTAACCCTTAGGAAAAAAACAAAAATCACCTCTGCTTTTAACAAATATTTGATGACGCATTTGCTCCCAGTATCCACATTTTAATGTTTTGCCAAAAAAACAGCCAGTACATGAAGTAATAATCAATGCACATATTTTAAAAGGGGTGGGGAGTCTCATTTTTGGTGGTTATGTAGAGGAGAGGAGGCATTCTGGAAGGAGAAAAGTACATTTTCAAAGAAATGGGGGGAAAAGCACTACAGGCGCAAAGGCCACAATGGTTTTGGCATGGATTGAGAAGCACGCTTCAGGGTCTCTGCTTCTTGCCAATACTGGCAAGTTCTCAAAACTTTTAAGGAGGTAAAAACATTGTTTAGTGTTTACAAATCTTCAGTATTATAACAGATGCTTGTCAAATCAGCTGTACATAGGTTGACTGATCTACCTCAGATCAGCAGTAGCAGCTTCTCTGCCACAAATACAAGGCTGAAAAAAAAATATCTTAAATCAAATTTGAAGTATTTTCTTATAAAAGGCTTTTACTGTTTTCTTTTTGCAAGCGCCCTATGGCGGGCACACAGGCAGCCATTACAGTGGTGCTCTGGAAACCAATGGTCAGGCATTTGGCTAGTATTCAGGCCTGAGGAGGGATTCTGGAATACATGAGGAACACCAAACCAAAGGTAGTCTGATCCATGCGGCTGTCAATAAATCTTTCATAAGCTACAAGAATGCTAACTCTCCTAAGCAACCTCCCAAATGTCATTATAGCAGCATCACTCCTTCAGGCTTCCTACCAACCAGCAACTGCATTGTCTTAAGGACAGGAAGTAACTGCACAATAATAACCCATCAACAGTGAAAGGTGATTCAGTGAACAGCATCAATTGTTGGCACCCTCAAGTTTCGAAGTTGCCCAATTAGAACATGCACTATCATTAATAAATTCTTTCCCTAAATATCTAAATGATAAACACATGATGTAAAGAGTTCTCAGAAAGCACTGGGAATGCCTATAACGGTTTTGCACCCTCAGGCACTTGACACATACAAATGATGAAGAAGAAAAAACACCTAACTTTGCTTTTTCTGTAGACAAGAAAAGTGAGCAGCAAGGTTAAGGAGAGTTAAGGAAAGGTCACTTGTTCCTATTTAGAACTTCTGCTGCTTCGATGGCTAAAGCAACAGGCATGCCTCGTAATTGAGTATACATTTTCAAAAGCCCAAATATTTGAAACGTTTTCAGAGCACATCCTCTGAAATACACATCTATCCCCTGCCAACACAACACAAATGATGATGTGACATGCTTGCAAAGTCAGTTTCTCCAGTTTCTTAAGTAAGGACAGATGGGTAACAAAAGTTCTCTTTCTAAATCATATATTGAAAAAACAGAGAGAGTGAAATGTTAGCTGATTTCTTTGAAAGTTAAAAATTTTCAGATTTTAAAAGTCTTTTGCAAAATAGTGTTGACTTTGCAGATAGTATTTTTTCTCTTCATTGTGAGGAAAAAGAAAAATGTGAGTGGGAGGGAGAGAGAGAGAGAGAGAGAGAGAGAGAGAGAGAGAGAGACTCCTAAACAAGTCACTGATAGGATTCCACAATTTTCTTTCTCCCATCTGGCTTAAGTAACTGCCATGAAGGCAATCTAGCAAGACTGATATGTACATATAAAAAGTCAACAAGTTACACAAGACCTGAGCTTTCACATAACACAATGAGCCTTTGTCTAAAACAAGATGAAAAGAACAAAGTAAAGCTGCATTATTTCTCCCAGCCCTCAACAGTTGATTCCTGAATGCTCTTCCAGATTCTGAAGCACACTCTGGTAAGACATGTCTCAAAATCAACAGTCGATCTCATAAAATCAAAATAGGCCGATGGATCAATTACCAATAGTGATTTCTCAATGCATTCACACAGGCTGTGCAAGCTGCTCACATTTAATATCACCTGCTTAGAATTTGGTTGGTTGGCTTCCTTCGGCTATTTGAACTAACACAGAGAATTTCCCACATACGAAGCAGCTAACATTGTATATTAATGTGACTATCATCCTTTCATAAATGCCCTGCATTTTGATAGTAACCTTATGTCCAGCTTTTTATTTGGCAAGGGGTGCAAGAGGCCTCAAAAGTTTAAAAACAGTCCCAACAGAAAAGCAGCTAACAACAAAGGAAATGTATTTTAACAAGATCACAATCCAGTTTTTAAAAATCTATTCTTTATTACGATGATTGTCGTGAAGCTTCTCTTACCATGAGTCGAAAAAATATGACAACAACTTCTCAGCTACTGGATTACCAAGACTTCTGACAGCATTACTTACCACGTATGACCTGAGTGGGAATTCTCTGAAAGCTTTGCTTTTATACCTGAATGAGGGTGGCACCTCAGACAGGGGCAGCAAGTTTTTCAAACTGTCCTGACTCTGGTTTACCTCTGAAACCTCATTGGCCCGATGCCCAAGGTTGGCCCTATAGGGAGGTCAGGAATGGTTCAGCATTCACAGAGGTCACCAGAAGAAACATACACAAGAAAGCAGGAATTCTTCCCATTGCACTTACCTGCTGCGTGCACAAAGTATGCCAAGTATAAATCGAGTTCCTTAACAGAAACTCCTATGTGATGGGGCTGGACACAGAGCCCTGGATTGGAGCACTGCGGGGACTTTACAAGGCGCTCGCCATCAGTACTTTCCAGAGGAATACCTTTGAACAAGATCACCATGACGAGGTCCAATCTCCACACTTTATCTGCCTGGCGGAGGCAGTCAATTCTCCGCATCTTGCCTTTCTGGTCTGGGTTGGAAAGAACACAGCATGGAGGTTTTTTCCCTGTGACTGTAAGAACAAAATCCTCTCGGTACTCAGGTCGAATATCTTTCCGTAACTTGGCCAGAAGTCGGGAAGCCCACTTCTGCTTGACTTCAGGCTTCTCACTTAGCAGTTCATCCTTCACGGCCCTCTCCTCTTCTTTCGACATGCGCTTCTCATGTTTTTTGAAGTATTTTCGCTTTCGGGCCTGCAGGTTGAACCATGTGTAGGCGAAGGCGCGGACGTGGGGCAGAAGTGCTTCAATAAAAGGATGAAACTCATCCTAGGGAAAGGAAAAAAATAAAAATACGAATACGACCAACACAAAAGAAGACAACTTGCCTCTGGGAGCTGCCCCAAAGAAATCCTTCATTTCACATGAAATGTGGTCCAAGTATTACATTACCTTTAAAATCATATGTAAAATCCCTAAGGGCAACCAAGGGGAATGGGAACACACTCTCAGTACCATTACTTATGTTCTGAAAGGAGAAAATGGCTAAGGATTTTTCAACATTTTGGTACATTGTACCGTGCGGCCTACTTCCCAGATCCTTTACATAGCAAGCCCAGTTTATCTAAACACATCTAACAATATAGACTCTTAACCCTATTTCAAGGAGGCCATATCTAATTCTGTCCCAGCCTTGACCTCACCATTTGTAGTGTAGCCAGGGCCTAGCAGCCAGATTGGCAAATCCAAAACACTCAGGTGCCAGTCAATGTTTATGGAAGTCTAGGAGCAAGACCCATCTCTACCGTCAATGAAAACAAAGGCTTTCCCTCTGGAGAGCCAGTGTAGACTCTCATCTGCCTCCCATGTATTTTGGTAATATCCTAGTTACTCTTTTAAATATTATAGTTGCTGATAATTTACAAAAAAAAAAAAAAGAAAAAGAAAAATGTGGTAGGTCTTTTCAGAAAAGACGTGAGGGAAGATTTGGTGTTCACTAGGCCAAAATAAAAGCTCTATGCCCAAGAAATCATTACTGAACTATGGGAAGAGAACAAAAAAGGAGTGTGGGGGGGCACACCAAACAAAGCAGAGCTCCATGCCCAGAGTAAACAGGGAGCCTCACCGTGACAGCACTCCTGCAACTGAGCACATTTTAGTGGCTGAGAGGACTATGGACACCCTCAAAAGCAAGCAGCCCCTATGAAAGGCATCATCTCACTTTTTAAAATAATATTCCAGCTCTTTCCCCATTCAGCAAACAGGAGACTCAAGGAGAACCTTCACAGATCTCTCTTTAAAAGACATAATTTGAAGAGAAAATTGAATTTAAAGCATTTGAATTTTTCTTCCTGGTTTACTTAAAAATATGTGATTCTTATGTTGATGTTGGTTAGAAATTTTAAGTATGAAAAATTATAAAAAGTTAAACAGTAACATTCACAAACGCCTCAGAGAGGACATCCAACTCTTGATTAACTAGGCCACACCAATTTTATATAACGGCTTTCTGCCACAAAGATAAATTATTTACTTTCAAATAAATGAAGATAAGGAAACTAGAGGAATATTTGGTGACTTTTTAAGAAGAGTTAGAGTGAACAAAGATAAATATATTCCTTTTTTTAATGTTTTTTATATCAACCTAAACATTAAGGTACAAGAAATGGTAATGCCAAAACTAGTATTACTACTAAAGAAGTTATTAAAATTTTAAACATTTTAGTATATACCAAAGGTATTATATTTTAATAGTCAAATATGTTAATTTTTTACAAATTTTAATCAACCATGTAAACATTACACATAGCAGGATTCATTAAAGTAAGTGTATAATAATATAATTCATATTTAATTGTTACAATAATTAGCCTTTTCTCTCTTTCTGCACAAATTTTTGACTCCAGTTTTGAGACTTTCTCTTTTCAAAAAAGGAATAAAATAAAAAAAAAAAAACTGGTGAGCTTTGGTTAGCATGTGCACATTCTTCAAGTGGGGGGGGAGTAAAATACAAGAAATATATTATTCTTTACCATAAACCATTAGCATTTTAAAACTGTATAATGTTTAAGAATCTTTATTCCTTTAGAAGGAAAATGCAGGGGGCAAGTCACAGTTTATCGGATAAGGTACATGCCAAACCACAAAGCATTTAAATATTACTAAGTTCTGAGCTCATCCTTGAAATGCTCTGAAATACATAAATGCTATGTGTGTTCGTATTGACTGACATGCAGATGTACACAGGACATAGTAGAGACTAAGACTCTGTGGCACTATGGGAGGAATCTCTGAGGGCGACCTTAAACTACAGTGAGCCTTCTCCAAAAGGAGCCTTTCAGACTCAGCTCCATTTTATAAGGCAAATATGTCCAAATACATCATATCGGTGCTAAGGCATTACCTTATTAATGATAATAAACATGTTAAATAAACATCCTAACATGGTTATTTTATACGTCCTAAAATACTTCCTAAAACCGGATAACCGCATCGGTTCAGAAGCATTGTATTCACCTGCCAACCAGATGCCCATATATCTCTTCATTAAAAAAAAAAAATCTGAAAATAAGGTCAACTAGTCATCGTGGACAATCCCCCAGTTTTGTATCAGAAGTATTTACCATGTATTATTCCCCCCAAGGTTTCCAGAACGTGACTAAAAGTACACAATATTTTATATAACTTTACTCATATGACAATTATACTTAGTGACGTAGTGATACACATATCCCCCAAAGCATCCAAATTAAAAAAAAAAATAATTACAGGAAACGTCCAAAGAAAGCATAAATGTTCCGGGGGCTGGGGGGGGGGGGGGGGGTTTTCAAAAGCCAGGCTGCTGAAAAAAACACAATCAACTCTGTAAATTTTAAAAAAATTTCA